TGTTCATTAGATTCTACATATGAGTGAGATCATGTGATATTTGTTTTTCTCTGACTGGCTTATTTTACTTAGAATAATACTCTCCAGGTCCCACCTGCTGTCTCAAAGGGTAAGAGACTCTTCTTTTTTATAGCTGCATAGTATTCCATTGGGTAAATGTCTGAGAAGATGCTTGATATGATTGCAGTCTTCTTGAACTTGTAGAGTCTTGTTTTGTGTCCTCACATGTGGTCTATCTTTGAGAATGCCCCAAGTGCACTTGAGGAGAATGCATATTCTGTAGCTTTGGGGTGAAATATTCTGTAAATGTCAATTAAATCCATCTGATCTAGTGTGTCATTTTGAGTCACTGTTTCCTTGTTGATTTTTTGTCCAGATGATCTATCCAGTAAAGTCAGTGGGGTGTTAAAGTCCCTACTGTGACTGTATTTCTGTCCATCTCTCCCCTAAAATCCTCCAGAAGTTTATTTTCAGGCTGTGTGAGTCTTTTGTTCTGAGATGGGTCTCTTGTAGACAGCATATATTTGGGTCATGTTTTCTTATCCATTCAGCTACCCTATGTCGTTTGATTGGAGCATTTAATCCATTTATATTTAAGGTTATTATTAACTGGTATTTATCTATTGCCATTTTATTTCTTTATGCCTATGTTTCTTTTTCTTTCTATTTCTATTTCTTATTACAGCAGTCCCTTTAACATTTCTTGCAATGCTAGTTTGGTGGCCAGTTTAGCCTTTTTTTGTCTGGGAAGCTCTTTCTTTCACTATCTATTTTGAATGATAGCTTTGTGGGATAGAGTAGCCTTGGTTTCAGATCCTTGCTTTTCATTTCCTTGAATACTTCATGCCATTCCCTTCTAGCCTGTAGAGTTTCTGATGAGAAATCAGCTGACAGCCTTATGGGAGCTCCTTTGTAGGTAACAGATTGCTTTTCTCTTGCTGCCTTTAATATTCTCTGTCTTAAATTTTTGGTATTTTAATTATGATGTTTCTGGGCATGGGCTTCTTTGGGTTCTTCTTGCTTGGGACTCTCTGTGCCTCTTGAACTTGCATGAATTTTTCCTTTACCAGGTGAGAAAGGCTGCCTGCCATTATTTCTTCAATCAGGCTCTCTAACCCTTGCTTACTTTCTACANTCTTGAACTTGCATGAATTTTTCCTTTACCAGGTGAGAAAGGCTGTCTGCCATTATTTCTTCAATCAGGCTCTCTAACCCTTGCTTACTTTCTACATTTTCTGGCACTCCTGTGATGCGAATATTGTTATGTTTCATGTTGTCCCACAGCTCTCTTAGAATGTCCTCCTGTTTTTTAATTGTGTTTTCTTTTGGGTTCTCTGATTGAGTGATTTTTTATACCCTGTCTTTTAATTCACTGATCCTCAGTTTCCCCTAATCTGCTGTTTATTCCTTCCAATGTATTTTTTATTTCTACTATGTCATTCTTAATTTCCTTCATAGTGTTCATTTCTTTTCTTATGCTGTTGAACATCCTTATGATCAGTATTCTGAACCCTATATCTGATAGATTGCTTATCTCCATNACTGTTTATTCCTTCCAATGTATTTTTTATTTCTACTATGTCTTTCTTAATTTCCTTCATAGTGTTCATTTCTTTTCTTGTGCTGTTGAACATTCTTATGATCAGTATTCTGAACCCTATATCTGATAGATTGCTTATCTCCATTTCATTTAGCTCTTCTTCTAGAGAATTCTCTTGTTCTTTCATTTGGGACTTTTTTTTTTTTTTTTGTCTCCCCATTTTGCTGCCTNCCTGTTTGGATTTTTTCTAAGTATTAGGTAGATCTTCTAGGACTCACAGTCTTTTGGGATGGTCTCTGGTACAGGCCAATGTCAGACACTGTTTGTGACTGGCCTTGAGTATCCTGTTTGAAGCTTTCTATTCTCCACACCTTGTGGTTTTCTCTGCTGGCACCAGGTATGTTTGGACAGGACCAAGATGTTCACCACGGTCTGCTTTCCCAAGCCCTGGGTCCAGAAGCAAATCAGGCAAAGACTCAAAGCTCCCAGAGGTTGATTGTTATTCAGTCTCTTAATGAGCCTCAGACTGTAGAAACTCCACAGGGTGGGGGTAGAGGTTTTCCAACAGGGTGGGACAACTGCTTCCCCCACAACCAGGCAAAACTGCTTGGATGGTAAATGTCTGCTTGAGAAAGATATCCTCTGCACTATGGGCGAANAATATCCTCTGCAGTATGGGGGAATGACTCAGCACAGGCATCCAGAGGGGTGCCCTCTGAGCTCTATCTCCAGAACCCATAACCCCAGANGATATCCTCTGCACTATGGGCGAATGACTCAGCACAGGAATCCAGAGGGGTGCCCTCTGAGCTCTATCTCCAGAACCCATAACCCCAGATTCTCCTCACACAGCTCCAGTCCACTCTGCTCTCCCTCTGCTGGAGCCCAAAGTAAGTGGCTGCACATGAAACTTTGTGTGTTGGCTCTTTAAGAGGGGTCTTGCATTTCCAGCCGTCTCTCCCTGGCTTGCAGAAATCCAACTGCTTTTCACAGCCGGATGTTATGTGGGCAACTTTCTCAGTTCTGTTGCTCTAGGATGGGAAGCCCAACCTGGGGTTTAGACCCCAGAGTCCTCAGTGGGAACCCCCGCAGCTGAGATATCCCTCCGGACCTTCAGCTGNAAGAGGGGTCTTGCATTTCCAGCCGTCTCTCCCTGGCTTGCAGAAATCCAACTGCTTTTCACAGCCGGATGTTATGTGGGCAACTTTCTCAGTTCTGTTGCTCTAGGATGGGAAGCCCAACCTAGGGTTTAGACCCCAGAGTCCTCAGTGGGAACCCCCACAGCTGAGATCTCCCTCTGGACCTTCAGCTGCTGCCTGTGGGAGCCCAACCAGCCCTCTTGTGCCTCCAGGCTTCCTACCAGTCTCTGTGTGGTCTCCACTTTTCCTCCTTGCTTAAGAGGGTGCTCTCCANGGACCTTCAGCTGCTGCTTGTGGGAGCCCAACCAGCCCTCTTGTGCCTCCAGGCTTCCTACCCGTCTCTGTGTGGTCTCCACTTTTCCTCCTTGCTTAAGAGGGTGCTCTCCAGCTCATCTTCAGTTGCAATTGATTATTCAGGATGGTTTTTCTGTATTTCAGTTCTAATTCCAGTTTGGTCCCTGGAGAGTGTCAATGTAGCTTCCATTCAGTCCACCTCCACCTTGGGACCCCCACAAGTTTATTNCTAGAGAGTGTCAATGTAGCTTCCATTCAGTCCACCTCCACCTTGGGACCCCCACAAGTTTATTTCTTGTTCCCAATAGAATGCTACTTAAAATGCTAAGAGACAGTTACCTGAAGTCGAATCTTCAGTTATTCACCTTTCAAACAAGAACTTTTCTGCCTTTTTTTGCATTCGCCAGTCCAACAGGCTGTTCTGAAGAGGCCCCAAAGGAGGCCAGGGCTGGAGGTAAAGTGGCTCCCTCTCCCTCTGGAGGACAAGACAGCCCCACGGAGTTAAAGAAAGGTTTTCGTTACAGTCACTGTAAAAATCGACCATGTCAAAATGAAGCTCTTTTTACTTTCAGGTCTGTGCTCCAAACTGCAGCCTATAGTCCTAGCTGTAAAGAGAGGAAGAGATGCAGGTATTGATCTAATGACCTTAACTGTGAGCTGACGGTGAGAAAACACCGCGCCTTTGAGAAGGAGGAGGCACAGAAGATGGCACGTGTTGAAAAAAGGGCTCTCAGAGCTGCCCAGGCGCTGCTGGCGCTGAGCTCGCCCCTCAGGGAAGTGGCCACCCCACTGCCCGGGCTCCCTGCACCTGGGAGCTGTCCCTTCCACTGCCCCAGGCAGCCCCAAACCCCACAGCACCCCAGAACTTGATGAAACCGCTGTACAAGTTCTTTCTC